CCCCCCCCCCCCATATTCTAAATTTAATACACAAATTAAATGGAATTTTAAATTCATTTAGCACACACATTGATTGATATTGATAGATCTAGTCTAGACCTAGAAATCTAGGTTTATTAATGTTGAATATTTTTTTAACTGACTTTTATTACTAATCTAGATTTAGATAGAGATCTAAATCTAGATCTAGATCTAGATCAGATCTAGAATCTAGATCTAGATTCTAGACCTAGATCTAGATATAGACTATAGATCTAGCTAAACTATCTTACCTAAGGTGCTGCTTGTCTTGTTGGACATAGTTTTTAACAAGTGGATTGGCATTTGACTCTTGTCCATTCCGCTGAAATGTGTTGAAGCCACTGGTTTTATCTTGGTCTCCTGGTACTTCTGTCTCTGCAACTGTTACTGTTAGCATCATTGGGCTTGGCATTACTGGTGATGTCGGCTTAGGCTTAGCCTCACCAGCAAAAGAAACGGGTCTCATTTGATGTGGTGTACCACTTACCACATTGCTGAACAATTTGGGGGACAATGTGGATTGTACTTCGGGGCGAAAGGGGTATTCTTTCGGATGAGGAGGGGCTCTCGGACTAGAAGTCGGTTGCAGCTCATGATTTTGCCTGACACTACTGACAGTAGTGACAGTGGTGACAACTTTGTTATTTGTGATGCTGTTGAACGTGTTGGAAGACAAGGGTTGCTTTCCAGTAACAAGTGCAGGAGGGGTGAATTTCATACGCTTGAAAGGAGCATCTTTTCCAGTTTTACTTGGAGCAGCTGATCTCCTCATTTTCGCGTCAAGTAAAGATCCAACTTTGATCCAAGTTGTCAAGCAATGTTTATGTTTGCCGCCATTGCTCTTCTGCAAAGCGGAAGTGGCGCGTCTTTCTTCGTATTTTTATTATTTCGCAGTTTATTGTGCAATTTTTATTATTTCTAGCGCACAGAATTCTACACTAAGTCAAAGATCATTGACTAAGTGTAGAATTCTGTGTTCTAGCGAGATTTGACCTTCAGGAGATCCCGAGTTGCATAATAATAGGGGCCTAATAATAATAATATATTAATAAAATAATAATAATGATAATAACATGACTGCAAATTGAGGGAAGGGCGGGGACTTTGGACACGGGGGGACTTCGGACTCGTCAATTCTCGTTAAACTTTTGATAGTACACATTTTGTCATACGATAACATAGTGTCATATTAAGAGGTTTAGTTTGTCGTGTCTTTGCCACACATCACTGAACGAAATCTTGCATCTGCTGTGAACGAAATTGTGTTTTTGACAAGGGCGTATCTAAGTTTTCACACCTCAGTTTATTGTAAGTACCACCCGTCACAATAATAATTTATTATAATAGCCCCACACTCTACAGCATTATAATATAAGCGCTTTAACTATCATCCCCCCTGCAGAACCTAGAAAACTCAGGGGAACAAATTGGCTTTCAGAGAAGCGATAAGAGGACAAGAATTTAAGCTCCCTATAAACGCTCAAACTTTAAAAAACCTGACAAGATATTTCCGATGTCTATAGCCGGCGTCGGTACCCGGATTCCCACTTGGGTGATTTCCAGTTCCCAAGGATCCTTGTGTTGACACAGCGTCCGATCGAGCCAGTGACGGGATTCGAACTCCAAACCTTACGTAAGGTTGCCAGTGACCGAGAGCCACCACTCTAGGCGACCACGCACTCTCTCAATACTAACTCTGGTCCTGAAAACTATCCTCAACTCTTTCGCTCACTTTCTTTCCAAACGAAAATTAAAGTACGTCAATTGTATACGTGGATATAAAGTAGGCTATAGTTGTTCCTAATGTTTTGGTGTCCAACTATCCAAACGATATCTTAAGGTATTTTAATTGCGAGTGTTGTTATATTATGTAGCCTAGCGTAAAGTGGGGATCGAGGGCTGCACTGTATAGTAGGACCTATAGGAAAGGGGGCGCATGGGGTTGGGGGGAAGGGGGGGCTTCCAACGGGTAAAGAGGTTTCATTGTAGCCTACAGACATGTGTTGTGATAACCCCACTAGGCCACTGTGAGTTGACTATAGTCCAACTCACGATTAGTCATGGTTTTGACCATATTCTAGATAAGCATCTTGTTGAAAACAGTAATATAGGCCTACATATTAATGTCCCCCGCATCCAAGAGGTATTTTTAACCATCTTAGGCTCCGCCTGAAGACCCATAAGACCCGGGAGGACTCGTCATATCGTCAAAGATTCTCAAAGCAAGAAAACACTAGTTACATGTAATGTAATAGGGAATCTTTGATATCTTATTGCCTCCCGACGTGAGAAGTGCGAAAGGGGAGACAAGTAGGCTACCATGCAATTGTAGGCTATGTAATAATTAACTAGGCTAGCTAGTTATACTGTTTAATATTTTGTTACGATGTTCTTCTTTCGTTTTTTTTTTTTTTTGGGGGGGGGGGGGGGGCAGGTGATCAGGCCGATTAATGTCTGTTGCAGTTGGGTGGCACGGGATTTGTGGGACGAGCGAAGGACCTTACAACTGTACCTTCTTGGGGATGACTATAAGGCAGGGAGGGATTCAAGGCTCTGCTTAGTCTTTTTTAAAGCTGCCTGCTGGATCCATTCATTGTCTCTCTGGTGCGTCTCTCTTAAATTCGAACTCAGTGACTCCAGATATTTTACTTATAAGGAGCGCCAAACTGTATAATCGCGAGGCAGCTAAAATTCTTTCCGGTCGTGGTGGTAAATGGAATATAATGTCCCATTGCTTCAGGAATGCCCCCCACGCATCTAATTTGTAGCGGTTTTTTTTTGTCCGCAGAGAAAGCTTTTGCCTAAAGTCTAAAGTCAGCTCACAACCAAGGAGGTTATACAATTGCTGTAGATCCTTGCTCACAACCAAGGACGTATAATTACTATTGTATTTAACCTCCTTGCTCACGACGCATGCATAGAGTATCTCTTCGGGAGGCGAGAGTCGTCCATCCGATGAACTTGGCCAGTCCACCAGAACTGAGAAATCAGTAGAATATAGTGCCAAGGATAATTCATAGCCGAATACGTGTGTTATATTATAGGCCTACTGTACTTCCTTCGGTAGAATAAAATATGATAATATATTATTATGCTCCCAGGATGCTGAGCTCGCTGGAGCACCGGGTCCCGAGCCCGATCAGGCATGTCATAATATGGAAGGCACTGAGCTGAAAGTGTGCCGGCTGCACAGAATTCTACACTTAGAAGTGTGGAATTCTGTGGCCGGCTGCTGTCTACGTTTCGTTGGCATAGAGCACTGAGATTGACAACATAAAAAATTAGATTATTATTATCATGCTTATAAATCAAATTCTGTGCTCGCAACTGTACAAAAGTACTGTTTTCGCTGCGGAAAGGCGATCTTGAGTTTAAAAAGAAAAGATTATAATAATATTGGCTATAGATGCTGTCGATATCATTTGTAACTAGCGGAACTTGGGAACAAGCGAGCGAGAGAGAGAGAGAGAGAGAGAGAGAGAGAGAGAGAGAGAGAGAGAGAGAGAGAGAGAGAGAGAGAAAGAAAGAAAGAGAGAGAGAGAGAGAGAGAGAGAGAGAGAGAGAGAGAGAGAGAGAGAGAGAGAGAGAGAGAGAGAGAGAGAGAGAGAGAGAGAGAGAGTTGATTAATTTGCTGGTTTTTGGTTGAGAACTGCAATATTTTAGCTTATTTTGGCTGGTAATCTCATATTGTCCGTGGCCAACGACTTGAATGAAAATAGCAACTTGCGATGCTATTATGGTCGGGCATCGACCATGGCGGCAAATGTAGCAAACTTTTTGCAGTCTCTGCATGATTTTATTGATGCATCAATCTCTAGTAATCGAGAGCAAATAGAAGTTATCATCGACGATATTCGACAGGTTTGCCAACATGAGATAAAGGAAGAAGAAACAGGTACGATGCACCCACATCTATCTTGCATTCCGACCGGTGTATATTCCCTTCGTTGAACTTGAAAGCGAAAGTACACTCTTTAGATCTTGATCTGAGCAGTCTAGAATCTAGCTTTGCTCCTCCGCACATCAGATTTAGCTGTGGTCTGATCTACTCAGCTTCCCACAGGATACTAACTTGTAATACCTTTCCTTGAGGACAAATTCTTCATGGTTTTCTCGAGGCTTTGCTCTTTGAAAGTACACTTTACAAACAAATTTACTCTTCCACTTTTCTGGCTTCTGTCACTCCCTGTCACACTGACTTGCAGTCTCCTCTCCTGTTGTCAAGCCCAGTCATAGCCATATGAGGAACTTTGGTTTACTACTGTCAACAATTCAGTTAATGTAGTACAGTATAGTGGAGGATAATTGGAGGCTACATCGCAAAATATTCCATAATTTGCAAATTTCGCCAGTTTGATGTTAACTCTTTGCTTTTACGTCCTACATCACTTTTTACATGCAGCCACTTGACTTGAAAGAGAAAATCCAAATCCATCTTTGTCTTTATAAAACCTCCAGTCCATTATTTCCAAGTAAAAAAAACTACTTTAGGGTTACCGTTTTGCGCTTCTGTATGTTTATTGTCCGCTAACTTTGTGGCTGTTTGGAAGGAAAGTTTTTTTACTGCAGTTTTCGTGTGGGTAGCTAAATTTGTGGGTGTGTCTGGAGGCAGCCCAGGTGGGCGTGTCTGGAAGCAGCCCAGGTGGGTGTGTCTGGAGGCAGCCCAGGTGGGTGTGTCTGGAGGCAGCCCAGGTGGGTGTGTCTGCTCAGGGAGGCAACTCAGGTGGAAATGGGTTTTAAAGAAGACACTCATTATTATATCGTCAATATGAGCTGAGATGCCTTAAACTCAAAAGCATTCATGACTAATCTGCAAGAAGAAAAAAGTGCTTGCAGGTTCAGGTTTTTTTGAGGGGTAAACAAATTAGAATTATTATTATTATGATTTGTCGCAGGGTAAAGCTTATTGGTTATATTTCATATTGACATCTCATGCCCTAACTTGTTTACTGTTGTTCCAGAGTATGTCTGTTCACTTGTCTTTGCTAAAGACACAGGCTTGATCAGTTTCTTACAGAAGACTCAGAATTCGGAGGAGGTGAGTTATAATCAAAGTATATATGTATGTGTGAAAAATGACTGCTTTCGTTGAAAAATCTAGGGAAGGAAAAAAGGACTTCAAATATCTTCAAAGCACCTTACTTACTTTTGCCTTAATATTCCTTTATATATTATGCCTGAACACACATCAAGCAGTGGTACAAATCGGAATGTTAAATATATATACAATTTTTATGAAAAGTCTTCAAAACAGCAAAATTTCTTTTCCTTCTTCCAGTACATCATTTAGATGAAGATAGTATTTTTTAGAAATGTTATAGTGCTTTATGTTCTTCCATGATACTCTCTACCAAAGAATTATGCTGGTGATGATAAATGGGTAGGTATAGAGACTGTCAATGTATGGATTTTATAAAGATTTTGTTTTCTGTCAGATCCAGAATGGCAAGTCGGCTGCTCTGGACATCATCTCTGGTCTCATTCAGAAGGTGGGAAGGAATGTTTTGCCGTACGCTGTGGACATCAAGGTTTGTCGGCACTTGCAAATTAACTTTCGTCACACTCTTACTGTAACATCTTTATGTTTTTGTTTTGTTTCGTTCTGAAGAGTGACCAGGTATTGATATGTTGAGCCTTTTTTTTTCTCAGAGAAGGTAATTTTTGTTCCGAAGAACAATTTCATTTGTGAATTTTATGATTACAGCTGTTTCCCCCTTCCTATCGTGCCTGTAGAGAATATAGTTTAAAAAATGAAGAGTTAAGAAATTTATATAACAACGATGAAAGTAAATGAAAAAGCTACAGATGCACTGAACAGATTTTGTTTTGTTATCGTCTAAAGGTCTTTTAATTTATTTACAATGGCAGATAGTTGTATTTTTAATGATGATTAGAAAATTGTGTTAACTTTTCTCTTGTCCATATTGCATTTCAGGAGGCCACCCTAGCCGTCTACAGTTGTGACAGATTTGCCAAAGTGAAGAATGCAGCCATTCCAGTATTGATCAAAGTATCAAGTCTTACTATCTCCTCAGCTTTGATTGCCCATGCTTTGTAACACATCTTTTGGTTTAGCTGAAAAGGAAGATTACTGTTTCTGATTGCAATAGCCATTATGGTATCATTCGTGAAAGTCTTTGCTTCCCATAATATTGCTTTAAAATTGAGAATAATTTTTTCTTTATTGGTTTCATTGAAGTATTCGAAATACAGGTTGCAAAGACAAAAAAAAAAAGTCTTTTCGATCGTGTGATTTCTGCATTTCTGATGTGCAAAATGGAATTTTCTGTTTGTTTGGGGAAATTAGTCTTTGTTAGTGTATAAGTTAGACTCTTTACTCTGCTTGGGATATTTTGCTTCTTTTAGAGTAAGTGAAATTCTGACTGTCATCCACAGCTCTTAGAACTCACTGCTGGTTCATCTTTGGGGGAAGAACTCAAAGTGGATAAGATGATTCAGAAGTTCTTCAATGAACTTACAAAAGCATCCAAATTATCAGCAACAGGTCTGTATTCGTCTTAAGATTAAAAAAAAAAAAGAAGCTTTTTAATGTTCATAATGATGATGTTTCTTTTAATTTTGAAGCAGTGAAAGCAGGTGTGGATGTGTAACTGTTTTTAAATTGACAGTTTACTTATATACTTGTTCGTCTGCTGTATTTTTTTTTTAGGTTAATTGATTTTTTTGTTTGTTTGCTCTGTGGCTTACTTGTAAGGAATTCTTTTGTACAATTGGATTTTGAAATTTCTAAGATAGCTATTTGGGAGGGAGCATGTATTTGGTTAGTTGTTCAGATGAACTATGCCTGGAATAAAAAATAAAATTCGTATTGATTTTTTGAAATCTAATGTATTGGTGCATTTACTTATGAAATATTTGGTTGAAATTCAAATTCTAAATATTGAACAAGGCAAGAAAAGATACACTATGTAGATACAATTTGTGAAAGAACAGTAAGTTTGTCCTCTCTCCTGAAACATTTTGCTTAGGATGTTTGAACAGCTTGCTCAGGATATATGTTTGAAGTCATAGTAAGTGCTAATATAAATAACAAGTGTGGGACTTAAATAATTTTTGTGTGGGAATGAAATGCTTCATGTGTTGAAAATGAAATAATTTATTTGCAGAAATGAAATAGTTTATACGTGGAAATGAAGTACTTTATGTGTCGGAATGAAATACTTTTTTTGTGGAAATGAAATACTTAATGTGTGGAAATGAAATACTTTATGTGTGGAAGTAAAATATTTAATGTGTGGAAATGAAATACTTTATGTGTGGAAGTAAAATACTTAATGTGTCGAAATGAAATAATTTATGTTTGGAAGTAAAATACTTAATGTGTGGAAATGAAATAATTTATGTGTGGAAATGAAATACTCTATGCTGTGTGCATCCCCAGTGAAGGCAAACATTTACTACCTGTTGGGTGTGATAGCCGAGGTGTTCCCTGAGCTGATGACGCCCTACTCCGACAGACTGGTGGGCCTGTACACGAGCTCCTTGAGAATGGAGGTACTCACATCATGCTTGTCCGTCCGTACCTGGATGTTAGTTATATTTATGCTTGTCTGTCCGTACCTGGATGTTAGTTATATTTATGCTTGTCCGTCCGTACCAGGATGTTAGTTATATTTATCATTTGTAGGTTTTTGGAACCTAAAACAATAAATCACCTCCCGGGGCAGTGCTACTGACTGAAGTGTCTTTAGGCCATTCCCAAAGGAAAATGAGTACATGATGCATAGACAAACACACTATCTTTCTTTCTCTTTCTCTCTCTTTGTCTGTGTGTCTCTGTCTCTCTCTCTTTGTCTGTTTCTGAGATCTCTCTCTCTCTCTCTCTCTCTCTCTCTCTCTCTCTCTCTCTCTCTCTCACTCACTCACTCACTCACTCACTCACTCACTCACTCACTCACTCACTCACTCACTCACTCACTCTCCCCCTCTCTCTCTTTCTTGGTGACTATTCAGTTTTTTGGCTGTCCTGTAAAATTGTAAAAACTGCATATATATATATATATAATATATACTGTATTTTTTAAAATGATGCCGGCAGAAAAGCATGTATTTTTCTGTGTCTTTGCTCTTCTGTAGATGACCTCAAAGACCAAAAAACCAGAGCTGGCTATCATTAGTGGATGCCTGGAGGGTCTGACAGCTTTCATGCTCAATTTCACTCACTCTGCGGAAGAAGGTAAAATACAAGATAAGGCCCATCTTTATTGTCCAGATCCCGGCTCATTAGTTTGTCGTTTCACCGCGCTTCAAGTGTTGCATCCCATGAGATGAAGGAAAACGAAGCGCCCTTACAGAATTAATGTCACGATATGGGATATGGAAAATTGGTTACGCTACATGGGAAACAAGAGGTGAGAGATGGGAAACAGAAGGTGGGATTTGGAAGATCGACTGGTCATAAAATGTGTACAATAATTTCTGTATTGCACCGGGTCAGCCTGGGAACCGACGCAGAGAGAAAATGACGGGAATCAATTATTTTTATTATAGTAACAAACACTCCCCCCCCCCCTCTCTCTCTCTCTCTCTCTGTCTCTCTCTGTCTCTATCTCTGTCTCTGTCTCTGTCTCTCTGTCTCTCTGTCTCTCTGTCTCTCTCTCTCTCTCTCTCTCTCTCTCACTTTTCCACCCCTCTCACTCTCTCACTCTCTCTCTCTCTCTCTTTCTATCTGTTCTCAAATTTCCAATTTGTCTACGCCAGGATCCAAATATTCCTATGAGATTTTCAAGTACATGAGAATGGCCATTGACCCCAATATCGAGCACACTCGCTACGACATGCCCAAGGCTGGGCTCAAGCTGCTCACCAGACACGCCGGGCAGTTCCAGCAGTACTTGATGGACGATTACCAGGTACAGTGTGTGTGTGTGTGTGTGTGTGTGTGTGTGTGTGTGTGTGTGTGTGTGTGTGTATGTGTGTGTGTGCGTGTGTGTGTGTGTGCATGTGTGTGTGTATGTGTGTGTGCGTGTGTTCGTGTGTGTGTGTGCGTGTGTTCGTGTGTGTGTGTGTGTGTGTGTGTGTTTGTATGTGTGTGTATGTGTGTGTGCACACTTTAGCGTACTCTAAGAAACACGGTCCAGCAGTTGGGTTAGTACTTTTCGAGACTCTCAAATCTACTGCGGCTCATAAACCAGTATTGACGGTTTATTTGTGAATAAAGGGTTCAGATTTTAAAAAAAAATATTTAGTGGGTGTGGTTTATATACAGGTGTGCTCAATATCCCACACTATACTGTATTTATCTTTTAAAAAAAAAATTTAGAACCTGTTCGACAAGCTTTTGAAGTGGAGCCGACATCACAACCGGGAGATCCTCCACGCAGGGGCCGCAGCATTGGAGTCTTTCGTGAAGGAAGTGAGTCTGTCTTTACGCTTTGTTTTTGTTTGCTTGATTCTTAAAGTAAATTCGAGATATCTGTTGTATCAAATTTTTTTTGGGGTAGAATTTAATGTCTTCTGCTGCTTCTCATGCTCTAATTTGGGGTGCAGTTAGATGTTATCAGAATTGTGATGCATTTTGACATTTACATTTACAGTTTTGTGATGCATTTTCACATTTCCAGATTTGTGATGCATTTTCACTTTTTCAGATTTGTGATGTATTTTCACATTTTCAGATTTATGGTTCATTTTGACATTTTCAGATTTGTGATGTATTTTCACATTTTCAGATTTATGGTTCATTTTGACATTATCAGACTTGTGATGCATTTTCACATTTTCAGATTTATGGTTCACATTTTCAGATTTATGGTTCATTTTGACATTTTCAGACTTGTGATGCATTTTCACATTTTCAGATTTATGGTTCACTTTGACATTTTCAGATTTTTGGTTCACTTTGACATTTTCAGATTTGTGATGCTTTAGTACAGAGGGCACAAGAGGGTCAGACCGAAGGCTCAGTGTTCAAGGTATGTGTGTACATCTGATTGCCCTGGTATGTGTGTACATCTGATTGCCCTGGTCTGTTGGTTTAAGAATAAAAGGAGCCTTGAAACTTTCACGACCATAAACAGTTCTATTCTGTTGCGAAAGGCAACATTTTGAACTACATCAGTTTGTAATTTGTGTCTCTGGCAGGGATTTCCTCATAATGAGGACCTGATGCGGTATCTAATTCTTTAACCCTATCTGTACACCCTGGGGTCATTTTGTACTCCCGGGGTTGCATTCTTCACATTTTAGAATACTTCTAGTACGAAGATCTCTTCGAAACTTTCAGTATTTCTCCAAAAATCATTTTGACATACTGCTATTCAAAACATACGGATCGGATTAACGAGTAAATTTCCTCTTTGGAAAGTGGTTGCACATAGTTCTCCACCTGGTATGGATACGATAGTAAAACATGACGTACGGATATGGTTAAGTGGTTGCACAGAGTTCTCCACCTGGTATGGATACGATAGTAAAACATGACGTACGGATAGGGTTAAGTGGTGGCACAGAGTTCTCCACCTGGTATGGATACGATAGTAAAACATGACATACGGATAGGGTTAAATCTGTTTTATTGGAAAGTTTTGTGGACCTTGACGGTTGCGTAACTTTCATCAAAGCGACATTCTGTACATACCCAGATTTTCCCAACAATTAGATCTGCACTTCTGTACTTTCTCTACTACCTTTAGTAGCTGGCATGGTCTGTAACTTTTCCTCTTCCTTGGAAGTTCAAGGTCTTAATTAGATTATGATGAATGAACTATTATTTTAATTATTATAATATTTGCTGTTATTTTTATTTTTATTATTGTTATTGTTGGTATTATTATCATTATTATTACTATTACTATTATTGTTATTATCGTTACCATTACCCTTATTGTTATTATTATTATTATTATTATTATTATTATTTTATGGTTGATGAGCCTCTACTTTAAAGAAACCACTGTTAGTGGGTGTAATATCTCATGTAATGCAGAAAGAATAATTAAGACCTGTCTTGAATCATGTCTAGCATGTATCAGTGGTAAGGTGTTTTTTTAACGTTTTGCCTATTTCTTGGAATTCTGTTTCTGTTGCAGTTTTTGCTCATCCAGTTCCGGACGATCATGAACGCCAAAAATTCTACCGACAAGCACGTTTCCCTGGCTATCAAAGGCTATGGGCAGCTGGCTGCTGTAAGTTGTGGAAGAAAATGTGATAAATTTTTCCCCTTTTTTGTGTGACTTTTATGTAATTTTAGAAGCCCATGTGGGACGCTCACTGTTAAGAATAATCGGGGAACGACAAATGCAGTTTTTGAGACACCAGAATAGACATAAGGGTCTTGAACATCTAGCTCTCACTGGCAAAATTGAAGGCAAGCGAGGCAGGGGTAGGCCCAGAGCAACCTACTTAAGGAACCTAAACAAATGGGTAACAGGGAAAGATCAGGGAAATGTAGCTTTTTTAAGAGCATCCGAGCAAAGGAATGAATGGAGAACCATGATCGCTGATGTCTGTTGCAGATCTGGCACTGGATGATGATGATGTAATTCTGAACGTCTAGCTCTTACTGGTAAAACTGAAGGCAAGTGAGGTAGGCGTAGACCCAGAAAAACTTATATGAAGAGCCTAAACAGATGGGTGAAGGGGAAAGATCAGGAGAATATGTGAGGCAGCGTGGTGGAATCAGGCTCTCGTCAATTTTTGGGCATTTAGAGTTATTGGTATATCGTAAAGCTTATTCACTTGTCTTTATTTGGATTAAGAAAATATCCTTTTATCTTGAATACAAGTCGAGATATTTCCGGGGGTAATGTTAGTG